TCTCGTAAAATATTTAAAATATCATATCTACTGTTCTTAATTAAAACCATAAAATTATGAAAATTAAAATTTTGTATTTCACGCAACAATTACTTTGAAATTGAAAAAATTACCATGTAAAGAAGACTTACCCAGATATTTGACTGAAATCTTGATAGCAGAAAGTGGTCAATTTGAAGAGAATTGCAACGTTCACTTGGATTGCGAGACCTTCAATCGGACACGTACCTAAATAAAAGCAAAATCACTTAACATTCATTTTTAAATAATTTTTTATTTTATCCGAATTTTTTTAAAAAAAATTTTTCTTATACTTTTCTCCGGTCCGGCAACTGGCACCGGCGAGGTCGACCGGCGGCCATGGCTAGGCCGCGCGGCCTCGCCGGCCATGGGTCGAGGCCGCTCGGCCTCGCCCAGATCTGGGGGAGGCCGCCCAGCCTCGCCATGGCCGCCGGTCGACCTCGTCGTTGCCCAGATCTGGACGACGGCGAGGTCGACCACCACACCTGGGCGAGGCCGCCGGTCGACCTCGCCGGCCATGGCGGTCTCGCCCAGATCTGGCGGAGGCCGACCGGCCTCGCCATGGCCGCCGCTCGACCTCGCCGTCGCCCAGATCTGGGCGACGGCGAGGTCGACCGCCATGGAGGGAGGCCGAGCGACCTCGCCGGCCATGAGGGGAGGCCGAGCGGCCTCCGCCCAACCTCGCCGTCGCCCAGATCTGGGCGACGGCGAGGTCGACCGCCATGGAGGGAGGCCGAGCGGCCTCGCCTGCCATGAGGGGAGGCCGAGCGGCCTCCGCCCAACCTCGCCGTCGCCCAGATCTGGGCGACGGCGGCGAGGTCTCGTCGGTGGCCGGTGGCTGGTCCGGCGACCGGCCACCAATTTACAACAAAAAAAGAAAAAAAAGGTCAATAAAAAAAAATTCGCATCCAGCGATGAATAGAAAGGACAGGACCGTATTAATCGCATGTTTAGTCACGAAATTAGCTACGATACTTACTGGTGGAAAAGCTTTATCGAGATTGATTTCTGCGCGCACGAATTATTGAGAGAAACGAAAAAGGGAGAAGGCGAGAGAAAAGCGGGCGACGTGAGGAATCACTAATGAGAGAGAGAAATTGACGGGTAAGGTGCATATGAAGAAATTAATTTTCCGTCACAAATTAGCGACGAATCCATTTTCGTCGCAAAATCTGTCGCAAATTGCGACGGATAAAATATTCGTCGCTACTTTCGTCGCACAAGGGCACATTTCGTTGCACCAAATTGCGACGGAAAATAAATCCGTCGCAAAATTCGTCGCAAATTTGCGACAAAAAATTAGTCGTTGCTAATTTGCGACGGAATTAGCGACGACCAACTTTCCGTCGCAAATTTGAGACGAATTTTGCCACGGAAAAATAATTCAGTCGCAAATTTGCGACGAAATTAGCGACTAAAATATTTCCGTCGCAAATTTGCGACGGAATTTTTTTGCGACTAAAAATAATTCCGTAGTAAATTTGCAACGGATTATTTTCGTCGCTAATTTGCGACAGATTTCTAAATCCATCGCAAAGTTTGTTGCAAATTAGCGACGAAAAATTCCCCGTCGCAAAAATCATGTTTTTTTGTAGTGTCGTCGGGGCTTGGTCGGTTTGGCTTCAGTCGCCGATCGCCGCAGTGGCGACTCGGAAGGAGGAGGCTCGTGGCAGCGGTCCGGACAGCCATCGCGAGGCGGAGGGCCAAGCGTGCACTCCCCGTCGGGGCGGTGGCCTGTGCGGAGGAGGCCCATCGCGGCGGCTGTGGCCAGCCAAGGCATCGGGCAGCCGCAAGTCGGGTCGAGCATTCGGGTCGCGGGCGCTAGGGTTTAGCGCGAGTCGGGTCGAAGCCGGTTTTAGGGCTTTGTTTGGTGTTTGGGCCTAGGTGCTTTTAATTATTTGTTTTTGGGTTGTAGTTTTTTTTATTATTCCGAAGTGGGCCTTCGCCGCGCCCACCTCGCGGCGGGCCCGGGCCGGCGTGCCCAGGTCAGTCCCGATCCGGGTCGAATGTGGAGATCCGACCCAGTCTGTTTTATATTATTATATTATTTTAATATTAAAAAAATCAAATTTAAAAAAAATTTAAAAAGAAAAAATTATTTTAAAAAAAAGAAATATATTATCCGGGTCGGATGTGGAGATTCGACCCGGTCTGTTTTATATTATTTTTATTATTTTAATATTAAAAAATATTTTTTTTTTCAAAAAAATTTTTAAAAAAAATTTAATTAAAAAATTAGAAAAATTTCGAAAAATCATAAAATTCATTTGGACTTTGAAATTGGTTTTTCTGGCCCTATTGTGTGATTAGTGTCATATTCGATCGCACATTGCTTGGTTCACACACATTGAATTGCGCGTTTAATTTAACCTCGCATGCGGTTGATTATGCATGTTAGGTTTATGTAGTGATTGTTGCTTCCCTTAGCTTAGTTAGGAATGAATTTTTGAGACTCCCAGTTAGTGTGAACACGTTAGGTGGTGAATTGAGCAAGATTAGGTACCGAAAGGGCACAAGTTGATCAATTAGTGTAATCAAGTCCCCGTACCCATTGAATCTCTAGTTCGTAGAAGTGAGGCATTTCTCCCGTGCTTCGCTTGGGTGTCTAATCGACCCACCAAAAATTGATTAGTGGCGACTCTTAAATGAAATTGATTTACATGTTAACAACTTAAACTTAAGTCGCGAATTGGTATGGGCTTGGGAGAGCTCGAGCTAGGTTTAACTTAGTAATCCATTAGCCAAACCCCTTAGGCGGCGGGGCCGGTTCGGGGAGGTAGCGACAATACCCACTATCACATCGAAATCATACATCGCTAAAATCGCTAGATCAATTCTTTCTTCCCTATCGCCAGTCACGATCTTACAATTTGGGCACCCTAACGAGACTAGCACCTTATCATTCAATGGGGTGGTAACACACAACACAATATCAAGCAATCGCGGCTTCATACCAGTCAATTTAACAAACTGTTCTGACACAAACGAATGTGACGCCCCCGGATCGAATAAAGCATATGCAGCATGATCACAAAGAGAGACCGTACATGTGACCACGCCTGGCGCATTCTCAGCTTCCCTTCTAGCCATGGCATACACTCGTCCTTGAGCCGGTGGTCTGTTCTGGTTCGTTGGTAAGGGAGTTCTAACTTGATTTCCAATTCGGGGCGATTGCGGTAGCACAGACGACCTAGCTTGTCTGTTATTGGGACAATTCCTCACTTGGTGGCCCATTCCGCCACATCTATAGCATATAATATTCCTATTTGGACAAGGTCCAGTCCCATGTCTTCCACCACACAACTGACACACCGCACCCTGATAACGGTTCGGCTTTCCGATGTTCTTCTTAACGGAAGGAATAAAATGCTGATTCCCCGACATCGGTCTCTTCCCGAGATTACGATTGTCTCTAGCCGGAGCATATCTCGATCCAAAAGCAGCGGCTCTATCCACTAAATCACGCTCAATCGCTTGAGCCCGCTCATAGATCTCATTATAATCTCTCAAATTCAGTGAAATCATTTGGCTGCGAAGGTCCGGCTTCAAACCATCTCGGAACCTCCGAGCTCTATCCAATGGGTCTTCCACCATCCTCGGGGCAAACTTAGATAACCGAGTGAACTCAGCCTCATACTGATCCACAGTCCTCAGTCCCTGACGAAGCCTCATAAACTCAGCTAATTTCTGTTCCCGGGCACTTTCAGAAAAATACTTACTATTAAAGACTTCCACAAACATCGCCCAAGTCTGGGCGGCACCAACAGGGAACACCCTCCCCCTGGTGGCTTTCCACCAATCACTTGCATTGCCTTGGAGTTGGTATACCGTCAAGGTCACTTTCTCTTCCTCGGTGCACCCTAATACCTCAAAGGCTTTTTCCAACTCTTCTACCCAAAGCGATGCAACCTCAAGATCGCCTCTACCATCAAACTTAGGGGGCTTTAATTTCAAAAATTGTTCAACTAGCTGATGCATCTGCCTATTCACATTCACTTGTCCTTGCCCTTGATTTCCAATATTGCCATTGATGGCAACGGCTGCGGCGGCCTCAATCGCTTGGGCAATAGTGGCAGCCTGCTCCTGAGTCTGCCTACCCATCAGAGTCCCAACTTCCTCGAGTGCCCTTAAAATTCCATCAACTCTGGGGTCTGCAGAAACTCTAGCATCAACTCCGAGGTCCTCTATAGCTCTAGCTCGAGCACCACCTCGACCTCTTACTCCTCTTCCTGCACCTCTTCCTCGGCTGCTCATTTTCACAATTTCTATCACTCTCCTACCTGCTATAATTCCATACAGGAATTGGAGACCCAGGCCAACTATATCAGTCTAGTCCTAGGCAGTGAATTACAACAATAATTCACTTAGCAAGCAATCAACCATCATAACACAAGATCACAATCAATAAGTTTCGTGTACTTACCTCAGGTCTAGACGCACATGCACTTCAACCATTAGAACACTCAATTCACTCAGCAATCACGACAAACAGTCTGGAGATACGCGTAGCTCGTCCAACACCTATAACCCGCTAAAGTCTCCCTAGCCAACTACCCCAAAGGTCATCGCTCCTTATCACTCCAGGCTTCGACCAGCTTGGATCGAGCTGTCCTTGCTCTGATACCAATTCAACTAGGATGTCACGCCCCGAACCCCATCGAGCTCGTGGCATCCCTCTTTGGTCGAATTAATGCGACGTCCGAGGAAACGACGCCGACCCCACATTCAAAACACATCAGAGATAAAGCACTAGCGAAAGCCACAAACACCCAGACAAAATTTGACCAGGGGCACAAGGGAGAATATACATCCATTACTGATTCAAACTTATACAATATCCATCACTTACAATCCACAATAATATACATGCACACCGAACTTCTAGACTACACACCACCGATATCAAAAAGGATCAGTAGCCTGGGTATACCCTATCTCCAAAAATGGGACACTTCAAAAGATTTACTATACCCCTAAAACTAGCCCTGACGCCCGCTAGACGGCATCCACTCCGATTCCGTCTCCCCGGAATCTAAGTCTGAAATCCTCTGATCATCTGGCTCCTCGGAAGACTCCGAATCCGCTTCGATCTCAATCGGGTTGTCCTCATCACCCGACTCTACCTGTACCTCAATCTGTTCCTCTTCATCCGACTCCTCTTCTGGCTCTTCCTCTTCTTCAGGTTCCTCCTCTGGCACTGCCTCTAGCTCCACATCCATCGGATCATATCCTACCTGCAACTCCTCCGGCTCCGGATCCGGCTCTACCACTGTAGGCTCGGGCGCTGTAGGAACATGCTGATGCCCTAACTGCGTGAGACTAGTGTCTAAGCTAGTCATCTCGCCATCGGGAGGGGGTATGGCAGACGGATCCTAGTCCCCTACTTCGTCAAAGTGAACATCAAAGCCACGGACAGGGCCAAACTCGTCCAGCCCATCCCGAAAATACCATGTGGTATAGGTATGGACCTGCCAAAGGGGTTGCCCTATGTCTATACAGACTACCGAAGTATGCTTGATCCAGGTCATATTATCATCTATCGGGTACTCTACAACATTATGGTCGGTGTGCATCGGTACTCCAAAACGTTCAGGCGGCGGCAGTGGTAGATTCATGGCTTAGGGCGGGGTTCTGAAATAATTTGGTTAAACAACCATGAGACGAATCTCAATAAGTTGACAGCTTAAACCCCACTTAAGCTACCACGTATCTCCAGATAGGACCAAACACACAATCACTCAATACATACGTATCACGCACACAGTGCACTTACCTAGGCTATGTTGACACCTAATTTTTAGCTCGTTTTTGTCATATTTTCAAAAATTTCAAAATTAGGTCTAGGGATCTTGGCCAAGCCTAGAAACCTATTTCTAAACCAAAAAAATAATTTTTTAACATTTTTCTGCATTTTTTCTGAATTTCTTTTAGTAAAACTAAGCAAGAAAATCAAGAAAAATAGTAAATGGAATCAGAAAATTCCATAAAAATATACATTAATCTTCTTTTAAATCCAATTTCATAAATAGACTGTCAATTTTAGAAAATCTCATTCGGGTATAAGTTTTTCCCAAATTGGGCAAAATTAAACCCGAATTGAACCAAAAATTAAATTAAATTTTTTCTAGACATTTTTAGGTCATAATGTCTTCACAACAATTGATTCTGGCACCTTTAATTGCATAATGGTCGGTCCAATTGCACAATTTGACATAAAAATAAAAAATCCCCAAAAATTGATTGAAAATTAATAATTTTGAACCTAAATTGGGAATCGTGCCCAAAATGAAATTACCGAATTGTGAGATTATCATTTTTAGGGTTAATCAGGAGTGGGTAATGCAATTTTGGCATCAATTTTTCCTAATCAGGTCATTAAGACCTCGAATTGAACAGAACCCTATTAACCCAAATATAAAAGTGAGAAAATCTTGGGCACAATTATGATAAAAATCGAGGAAAATTATATGTTTAGGTTCGGAATATGCTGGGAAATTCAATTTTGATGTTGAATTTCGAAAATTTGGTGGAAATTGGGTTTAATTCACGAAATTGAGCAAAACCGGAGTTTCCGGGTCGGGCGGGTCGACCCGACCCGACCTGAACAGTGTCGTCTTCTTCACCCGGGCACTTAACCCATGAGAAAACCAAGAAAAAAATCACTCAAAGCCGCGACTTCATTGATCACGTTCGAATTTTTTAGCATGTTTTAATCGATTTTTCCAGCTGGATATTATCCAGCTGGCGTCGATCAACAACAAAAACCGATTAGAATTCGGTTCCAACCGAATTTCGAGCGTGAAATCAAGGATCAAAAATAGAAAAAAAAACTGAAGAACGAGGAGGGAAAGCTGTTCGAGAAAATTCCCGAGAGAGAAAAGAGAGAGAAAGGAAGAAAACCAAAGGAAGAAAGCTAGAGAGAGAGGGTCGGAGGTCCCCCCGTGAGTGATCGGCACCGCCCTAAACGGCGGAGCGCCGGCGAATCACGAGTTGGCTGTGACCTCCCCTCGCCGTGCCGAGCCGGAAAACCTGATTGGGAATGTCTGAAACCAGGTGTCTTCCGGACGACTCCGACCTGTTCCGGCGAATCCAAGCACACCGGGAGGCAGAGAAAGTCTCAAGGAACGTTCTCTGGGCTATAGATCACTTCAACAAATTCATTTGGTTATCGAACGAAGCAGGTAAATCTCCTTCGTGGTCACGGATTCCCAGAATTTCCAGAATGTGTTTTGGTTCAAACTTGTGCATTTCTTAGGTAGTTTGCGACATTTGATGCTCAAAACATGTTCTGACTTCATTTTTATTGCTTGTTTGCATTTTGAATGGTTAAAATCGCATAAACCGAGCCGATCCGTGCATTAAACCCACCTCGCCGGAAAACTTGAAACTTCGCCGGAGCATCACAGTGGCCTCAGGCCATTCAAGTCAGTCTCTCTGAACTTTGTTTGTTGGTTTATTAGTTGTTAGACTCGATCTAGACAGCTAGGGCGATCAGAATAGGGGTTAATGTTAGAAAAGTGGAAAATGTCAGTTTTGAGTTGGCATTTTTAGGCTCGATTTCTGCCGGCCGGTGAACGTCCGCCGGCATGCCGAGTAGGTTAGATTGAAAGTAGAATATACAGACTCTATTTTGGTGCAACCAGAATGGCTAGAAGGTCGCCGGAGACTCGCCGACGGTGAGCTCAAATCGGCTGTCTTGAAAACTATAAACATGGAATAATGCCCACCAACTGTTCGTGAAAATGCCTAAATGAAAATCACTCAAAACGGTGTTGTTTTGGGCATGCGTTCGCCGGAAGGGACGATCGGCGACCGGCACCGGCGACGGCCGATTCGGTCTCGGCCGAACCGATCCGAACCTATCCGGTCCGGTTCATTCTCCTCGGCGGGAAAATTCAAAAATAAAAATATAAAAAAATTAGAAAATTCTAAAAAAATGAAAAAATCACAAAAATCATAAAAAAAATTAGATTTTCTTAGAAAATTAGGAAAATTTGCAGAAAATTCATAAAAATCACAAAAATTACATAAAATTTTAAAAAATACAAAAATTCTCAGAAAATTCATAAAAATTTAAAAAATTCAGAAAATACAAATAAAAATTTGAAAATTCTGAAAAATCAATAAAAAATTGAAAAATTGGAAAATTCATAAAAATTTCCAGAAAATCATAAAAAAAATCATTTCTCGGTTTTAAAAAATTTCCGAAAAAAAAATTAAAAATTTTGAAAATCCACAGAATGATTAAAAATCATTGTGGCCAGTCATAAAAAGTGAAATTTGGATTTTCCAAAATGCCCAAGTAGCATAATTTAGAAAGTTCCAAATTTAAGGCCAAAATCCCTAAAAAATCATAAACCCTAAAAAATGAAATGAACAAGCTATTAAAGCTTTGTTAAGGTTTGAGTAGGTTTTCATTTCTAGTGACCAAATTAAGGTTGTCGTGATTGATTTGCCATTGGATGTGCATTTGATTCTTGGATGCTTAATTGTTTATCCATGATTAGATTAGTGAAATGACCTTAGGGATCCGTGTGATACGCTAGACATGCCATATCGTTCTTAGGTACCGAAAGGGCGTTAATGGTCTCAATTTAGGATCATTAACGTAACCAAGTCCCTTTATCCAGAATCTTTGGTTTGTAGGATTGCGGTACTTCTCCCGTACCACAATTAGGTTTCTAGTCGACCTACCGTAAATGACTAGTGGCGACTCCAAGTTTGAATTTAGATCAAACAAACCCCGCTATCACGTGAGGCATGGCCTGGGAGAGGCCCGTATAGAAAAATAACTCCATCCTAAAGCACGCGAGCGCGTGGCGCGATAGGCTTGGCGACTCCACTGGGGAATCTTAAATTTCTAAGTGGACTTAGGCCTAGATAGAACGATATGCATGTGTTTGTGCTCGCAAGGATCCCAGGTACGTTCCATTAATGACGTGTTAAATGGTGATGCAGGTGGGAGGTATAAAGGGTATAGTCTATGCTTACCTTTGTTTTGCAGGATGGTGTTGGAATTGAATGTGATTTGGCCAAATTTTAGAATTGCTCTTTGGTTATAAATTGTTGTGCTTGCTTTTAAATTGCTTTAGCACTTCACTTTTCGCACACACCACCCGTGGTCCAACCCCGGCTACATTTAGAATTACCCTTAGGAGGTATGTGTTTAGGCGAAACTGTGAGCCGATTGCTCATGGGATCGTTTAAATACAATACCGATCACCAAGATGGAATAATATTCCATTACTTTAGGCCGATCGCCTATTGGAATGGAATCTCTTGTCCATTAAGGTGGTGACCTTGAGCCCTTAGTATATCCTCACCCTTTTAGGTGTCAAAACCTCACTTAGTGCATATGCTTGTCTTTGTGGTTGGTATACCTAAAACCAAGCAAAATGTGCCGGTAAGTAAGTGTCGTTCCACTTCTCTCATCTTTTCAATTATGCAAAGTTAGTTGATACAATTTTGTTAAAAAAAAAATGCCCAAATGACAATCAATGTTTGGACAAAATGCCTTTTCATACTAGAATGAATGAATATGGTGACATGCTCCATTTGGTCACATTTTGCATTTCTAGATGGAATGTATAGGTCCATGATGATTTTCTTTCTTCTTCTCTTTTTTTTTTTCAAAGCAAATTTTCCATTTGACCTTCTTTGGCATTAAGAAGAGGGGTACTTACCTGCGGCCTAATGACTTGGTAACCCTCTCCTTCGCATTTGGCTTGTTGGATGCTTGCCAAGACGGTTCAGTCGTTTATGGATCAATTTGCGGATTGTTTAGGACCTACAAAGTAAACATGTGTGCATGTATGCATGATATGCATGATGTGAATAACCTACAGTGCTTCGGATTGCATCGAAAATGACTCTCGGGCCTCGGATTTCATTCAAGGAAAATACTTTCACCGAATCGGCGTTTACAGGCTTTGGCAACTCTTGGCCATCCATTTCTACAAGAATTAAAGTACCCCCAGGTAGAACCTTTCTAATGACATACGGACCGTCATAATTTGGGGCGAACTTCCCACCTAATTCGGGTGTGATGGATAGCACTTTCTTTAGCACGAGATCTCCAACTTCAAAATGTCGAGGCCGGACTTTGCGATTGAAGGATTTTGCAACTCGCTTTTGATAGCATTGACCATGGCATAAAGCCTTTAGTCTCTTCTCATCGATCATATTCAACTGATCCCATCTTTGTTGAGTCCACTCCTCCTCAGAGAGCTCAGCTTGCGAGAGAATCCTCAATGAAGGGCTTTCGACTTCTACGGGCAAGACAGCCTCCATACCATAAACGAGCGAGAAAGGAGTTGCCCCTGTCGAAGTGCGAATCGAA